CTCTGACCATCTCTTGTATCATGTCTGCAGTCTCTGACCATCTCCTGTGTCATGTCTGCAGTCTCTAACCATCTCCTGTATCATGTCTGCAGTCTCTAACCGTCTCCTGTACCATGTCTGCAGTATCTGACCGTCTCCTGTGTCATGTCTGCAGTCTCTGACCGTCTCCTGTATCATGTCTGCAGTCTCTAACCATCTCTTGTACCATATCTGCAGTCTCTGACCATCTCTTGTATCATGTCTGCAGTCTCTGACCGTCTCCTGTATCATGTCTGCAGTCTCTGACCGTCTCCTGTATCATGTCTGCAGTCTCTAACCATCTCTTGTACCATGTCTGCAATCTCTGACTATCTCTTGTATCATGTCTGCAGTCTCTGACCACCTCTAGTATCATGTCTGCAGTCTCTAACCATCTCTTGTACCATGTCTGCAATCTCTGAAAATCTCTTGTATCATGTCTGCAGTCTCTGACCACCTCTAGTATCATGTCTGCAGTCTCTAACCATCTCTTGTACCATGTCTGCAATCTCTGACTATCTCTTGTATCATGTCTGCAGTCTCTAACCATCTCTTGTACCATGTCTGCAGTCTCTGACAATCTCTTGTATCATGTCTGCAGGCTCTTACTATCGCTTGTATCATGCACATAGTCTTTGACTATATCCTGTTATGCACCTGCTGTCTCTGACACTGAATATTCACAGAATTTTATATGTGGCCCTTTGGTGATGTTGAGATCCACACTTGATGCCCACCATATCAAGAAAATTGACCATCACTGCGTTAATAGAATACAGAGGGCCCTAATATGTTGGCAGTGTGTGTGTACATACCCAGATCTGGTTTGTCTCGGTAGAGGACTGCACCTGGTGTGGAATCCGAGAGTGATGTGTTTATTGGCGGTTGCCTGGAGGAAGATGTGGTCTTGTGGGTTTACAGATTCTGTTATCTATCAATCTTGTCTTCCGCTGAGTAATGTGTGATGTGTAACACATAAAAGTAGAGAGACCAGGGAGATGTGGAGAAGACTAAAGGAAGAACATTTCATGTAATTTCCAAATGTGGTGGCCAACAAAACTAATGTGCGGCACAAAAGGGGATGGTAACTGAGAAGGATCAGACGTGGTATAAACGTGGTAGAGTACAGTGTGTGTCAGACAGAAAGCTGGACTCCAGTGGGGTAAAAATCATTTCATGCAAATATAAAATATAATAAACGTATTTGTAAATGCAGGTAGAAAGCTTAACCAAATCAGCAGCACTTAAAATAGGAGAGGGAGGACTAGAAATAAAGCCCAACTCTATAAAATAGGAAAACTCTTCCTTGCGGTGGGGCTGTGCTGCACTGCAAGGGTTAAAGAATATGTTCCCCCCAACATTTCATATTCCTGATATGTTCCTGCTGTACCATGTACTTGTTTTAAAAAGTACCCTGTTCTCTTTGTATTGCTTCCTTGGAGTGAAATATCTGGTGATCCTGCCAGTTCCCCTGCTTTCCTTTTTTCAAACTGACTACACTAGGAATAGAAGCTCATCTTTCCCAGTGTGGTCAGTTTTATGGCTGGGAAAACTTGTGCTCACATGACCCCCTGCACAGCCATTCACTGGGAAGATCAGTGCAATGCTGCTTCCCCACCCCAGCTCTCTAAGCCCCGTATGCAGCTGAGAACAGGGATTATGTGATCACTTAAAAAAAAAAAAAAAAAGGTATATACTTTTTTTTTATATCTTTACACAAATGTTTTGCCATTCATTTCTGTTGAAACTGAAAATGTTTTTTTTTCAAGGTGAGAGTTTAAATATATCTTAGGTGCTTGTTTAGTCTTGGGCAGAGTAAAAGCACTTTTAATTACCTGATCGTTCTCTCTCCCAGCTGGTAGTGTTCCCCCATGCTCCATCAGCAGACTGTCCCTCTCCATCCTCATGTCCAGTGCAGGGCTATGGACCCTGCATCAGTTTAGATGGCATCAGGACCTTAGACTGCTGGAGCATGGGGGAGAAGTTGCTCCAGGGACTTGGCCATCTGCATGGAGGAGCAGAGGATTGGGTAAGTAGATATACTTTTCTATACCCCCTAGATCTAAACAAATAGCCTGCACTGCTAGGAAGAAATTTCCTGGAGATGGTATTCAAGTTCTAAAGCTGGTCATACACATGTCACAGATTCGTGCATCCCCAATACACAGCATGTATGGACTGCTCTCACACTGAGGGGAATGTTTTTTTAAAGCTGGCCCCAGGAGCTCTTAAAACACCTGAATAGTGCCTACATCTTATGGATTGTAGCTCCTGTTCAACAATTTTCAACCTGGCTGCTTTGATTTTTCAGTCAAGGGATTTTGGACAGGAGTCAGCTGTCAGGGTCAACCAATGAGCAAATGTATGCCACTTCATCAGGAACTTGATGAAATTCCCTCCATGTATGGCCAGCTCTAGTTGTGCTGTGATGCACATGAGTTGGCAGTAAACATTTTCACAGAACGAGAGCAGAGGGATAACTCATCACTGTGCTGCTGCTCCTTCACTGTCCAATCATAGGCTGGAGGCTGACCAGGTTGTATTGCCTAAATGCATTAGAGATGTTAAGTCACCAACCTGGCTCTGCTGTCCCATTCACTAGATTTGGTATATAGAATAGCTCCCAGATATGTATAGATATACTATATATACACACTATATTGCCAAACGTATTGGTCGGCCTGCCTTTACACGCACATGTACTTTAATGGCATCCCAGTCTTAGTCCGTAGGGTTCAATATTGAGTTCGCCCCGCCCTTTGCAGCTATAACAGCTTCAACTCTTCTGGGAAGGCCGTCCACAAGGTTTAGGATGGTGTCTATGGGAAGGTTGGACCATTCTTCCAGAAGCACATTTGTGAGGTCAGGCACTGATGTTGGATGAGAAGGCCTGGCTCACAGTCTCCGCTCTAATTCATCCCAAAGGTGTTCTATTGGGTTGAGGTCAGGACTCTGTACAGGACAGTCAAGTTCCTCCACCCCAAACTGGCTCCTCCATGTCTTTATGGACCTTGCTTTGTGCACTGGTTTGCAGTCATGTTGGAACAGGAAGGGGCCATCTCCAAACTCTTCCCACAAAGTTGGGAGCATGAAATTGTCACACTGTTGTGCTAATCTGAAGGCCACACCAAGTTTGGAGGTCTTTAGCTATTGACTGCAGACAGTTGGTGACTTCTGTGCACTGTGCGCTTCAGCATGCACTGACCCAGCTCTGTCATTTTACGTGGCCTACCACTTGGTGGCTGAGTTGCTGTTGGTCCCAGTTGCTTCCACTTTATTATAGTACCACTAACAGCTGACCGTGGAATATTTAGTAGCCAGGAAATGTCACGGATGGACTTATTGCACAGGTGACAACCTATCACAGTACCATGTTTGAATTCACTGAGCTCCTGTGAGCGACCCATTCTTTTACAAATGTTTGTAGAAGCAGTCTGCATACCTAGGGGATGATTTTATACACCTGTGTCAATGGAGGTGATTGGAACACCTGAATCCAATGGAGGGGTGTCCCAAAACCTTTGGCAATTTTGTGTGTGTATATATATATATATATCTCAAACAATCTATGCAGCACTTGACATATATTGTACATTTAAACCAGTCCCTACCCCCAAAGAGCTTACAAGGTCACTACCTCGCATGCACACCAGGGCAGTTTAGAGAGGAGCCAACTGAGCTCCTAACATGTCTTTGGAGCGTGGGAAGAAACCTACACAAGTAGAGAAGAACATTCAAACTCCATGCAGGTAGGGTCATGTTTGGGATTTGAACCCTACTACTGCAAGACAGAACTAACCACTAAGTGATCGTATTTTAAATCTGAATTTATCTAGGTCTGCAAACCTGGTGTAGCAAGAAGTCCTGCAAAGTTGAAAGTTACCAGAAAGTGATAGTAAATCCAAAATGTTAAGTTGTCACTAGAACAGGACTAAAGGGAAATTTTTCTGGTGGGGGGCATCTGTTTTGGGAACAAATGTCAGAGAGGGGATTTCCCTTCACTTCAGAGAGATTTTCTATTACTTCCTCTTCTGTCTGTCTGTATGACAGGGCTTGAAGGGAAATCTATGCAATGAGCGAAAAATGTTAAACGTTTTGGCTATACATACATTTTTTAACTATCTGAGCCCCACAAAAAATTTTCGGGCAGCAGCAACAAAAAGTTCAGTTCATTTTTCAGCTTTCCGGTTCTTAGATGCTGCACCACATCTGGTAATCCTGCCAGTAACTTCCTGTCCTAGGGTGACTAAGTTCAATCAACGTACTGTGTCTATGGAGAAGTAGCATTGTGACCCTAGGAAAGGAAGTGTGTTAGGACTACAGAACACCTCCCCTCTCGTCAACTCAATTATATAGGGGGGAGATGTTTTGTAGTTCACAGATAATATCTGAGAACCCTGACAACTTTCTTTGAGATTTCAGCTCAGTGTACGGGATGTGACAAGGATAATGGATGTCTGATAGGATCAACTGGTATTTTTCAGTACTTGTAGAAAATATATATAGCGTGAGAAAAGAAAATGAATGCAGCCACCACATTCAAGGTTTGGCAAACCACAATATATTACGTTTGTTCTTGGGTTTAGATAATGCTTTAAGCCTTTAAGCATACAGGGTTAAAACAGTGAGTGATTGCCAGGATAAAAGGAAATTGTGAGGCAATAAGGCTACTCACAAATGGGGAAGTGGATGCTATGGGCCACTTAACCCCCCCTCAGGTCCCTTAGCAGCTGCCTAGGCTGCTATGGCTCTAGTTTTGTTACTGTATATGAAGACCTATATATAACTGCTATGAAAGCAGTTTTGTTTTATTACTAGAGGAGATGTCTTTTGTGACCCCCAGGCTCCTTAATGACCATGCTGTAGGGACCCATCACACATAGCTGTGGTCCTGCCTAAAAGCAGTCTTATCCTTTAATATATAAAGTGCTGTGCTCCCTTTAAATGTACTGCCCATTTAATTCTTTTGCTTCATTCCACAGTCAGGCAGCCGCAGAAAGTCGCCCGTCGTGTCTTCACAAACAGCCGCGAGCGTTGGAGGCAGCAGAACGTCAACGGGGCCTTTGCTGAGCTACGGAAGCTGATTCCCACACACCCTCCTGACAAAAAGCTGAGCAAGAATGAGATCCTCCGTTTGGCCATGCGATACATTACATTCCTGGTTACTCTGCTGAGTGACCAACACAACCAAACCTCCAAAGCCACCACCGCCAAGATGAGGTTCCCACAGACTGTCTGTGATCTTGTGCAGAAAAGTAAAGAGAGTCTCAACCCTGAGGATAACCTCCAAGAAAAGCAGAAAACCAAGGAGTTCCATGGAATTGTGTCCCCACTGTCTGGCAGCTGTGGGGACAGTGTAGAGACTGAAGAAGACGAAGGGGACAGAGAAAGCGTTTCGTCTTCACGAAGCACAAATATGACAATAATTACTCCTGAGGTGGGAGGAAGTCGGTGAGGGTTGGGGAATGAAGGAGATTGGACTTCATCTCCTTCATAACTTTTGCTGATGGACACGTTTTTTGGTGGTTTTGAAAATGTACATTTCTTTTTTTTCCCCATAATTAGATGATAGTAGATTTTACTAACGTGTAGGTGAATCATTTAAGTTGTTGATGAGCAACCAGTCAGATACGGGGATCACAAATATGGCTCATACCACTTCTTAATTACTACAGATGACATTATTCCTCAAAGTAGATCTAGTCTTCGTCCATGTAGGCCAATACAACAGGTGTACTTTGCTGACAGCCCCCGCAGCTACTTTTTTTTTTCCTTTCCATGTGAGAGGACTGGGAGCCTAAGAGGCCAAGCATTGGCATCAGGGGAAGAATGAGTCACATGTTCTCCATACCTAGAAAGGCCAGGTATGGTACTGTACAAAGATTGTAGACAGGTGTGAAAAAATGCTTTATATGAAGAATGCTTTCAGAAACAGAAGTGTTAATAGTTTGCTTTTTATCAATTAACAAAATGGAAAGTAAATGAACAGAAGAGAAATTCAAAACATCAGTATTTGGTGTGACTACCCTTTGCCTTCAAACATCATCAAGTCTTCTAAATACACTTGCACAAAGTTTTTAAAGGAGCTCACCAGGTAGGCTATTCCAAACATCTTGGAAAACTAACCATAGATCTTCTGTGGATGTAGGCTGCCTCAAATTGTTTTTTTCTCTTCATGAAATCCCAGATATGCTGCCCCAAACTTGCAAGGAGCCTCCACCATGTTTCAATGTTCCTTGTACCGCTTTCCAGCCCTTCGGTGATCAAACTGCCCCCTGCTACAGCCAAACATTTCAGAATTTGATTCATCAGTCCAGAGTACCTGCTGTCATTTTTCTGAACCCCGGTTTCTATGTTTTTGTGCATAGTTGAGTCACTTAGCCTTGTTTCCACATCGGAGTTACAGCTTTTTGGCTGTATTTCTTCAATGAAGACCATTTCTAACTAGACCTCCCTGGACAGTAGATGGATGTACCTGGGTCCCACTGGTTTCCACCACTTCTGTGCTGAAGGCTGTGCTGGACATCCTCCAGTGTCAAAGGGAAGTAAGCATGATATGTCTTTCATCTGCTGCATTAAGTTTCCTTGGCCAACCACTGCGTCTACGGTCCTCAACGCTTTTCTTTGTGCTTTTTCAAAAGAGCTTGATGAATTGGGTAGTCACACCAAATATTGATTTGATTTAGAGTTTTCTTCTGTTCATTCACTTTGCATTTTGTGAACTGATAGAAATAAACAATTGAAATAAATATATATTTTGAAGTATTCTTACTTTGCAAAAGTTATAGGCAGGTGTGAAGAAATGCTGTACACTACTGTATGTCACTTTGCTTCTCTGGCATATAAAGTGGGGGGCAGTGAATTGGAAAGTAAATATGTTAAGCTGTGGAGTTGGCATTAAAGCCACCCTGCTGCTTTGCTCTGCTGGGGCCGTACACAGACAGTATGGGCAGTGATAACAATATGGGAAGTAGTGCTCAGAGGTACCCTTTTCTGTTAGGTGGAAACTATATGGGAGATGCAGGACTAAAATTGCACTCAAGCCTTTATAAGTAATAACCAGGGGCGGACTGACCATTTGGGAACTCGGGCACTGCCCGAGGGCCCGGGGTCAGAAGGGGGCCCCATGAGATGCCCCTAGTACCTTTTCATAGGCTTTTTTGGGTGTGGTTTGAGTGTGGGCAAGGACACAGGGGCCCCATGGTCCCCTATTGCCCGGGGGCCCCATTTGTTGTTCTCTACCATGTCTGATAAGGCGTGAGCTTCTTTTGCTTCCAGTGGAAAGAGTTCAATGTTTGTGGCTATGAGGGTCTATGTATAGTAAGAGTGGGCGGGCATGTACAGATTGGATGGCCTGATGCAGCTTGGACTTCCAGATCATGTGAGGGATAAAAAGAGCATTGCATACCCTTCACACAATATTATTTGACTTCCAGCTCTGCTATATGTTACCTAAGCAGACACCTGTTAAACATAAAAACTGGCATGGAATATACATGGTCAAGTTACAGGGCTTAGACAACCTACTCGGCCCGATCGTCAAAAATGCCACATGTAGGCTAAGCTACAGCTGGCTACCCAATATTCCAATACAGACAAATTCTACATGTCCACATTTTCCCCAATGGCAAACAAATTGAACATTTTTTAATGGCTACAAAGGATACTATAAAAGGCTGTAACAACTAAAAGGACAAAAAAGCAATTTTTCATCTTTTTTAAACATATTTCAGATTCCCCATATTTGAGGTCTTTTATTTGTGATGTGGGAAAACTGTGTTTACATGTGTTTTATTTGACATATGAGAGGAAACCACCTAAAATGAGAGATAAACAGTGTCTGCCTTTAGTGGCAAGTCCTTCCAAAAAGAGTCAAAAGTAGTGATCCAATGCAATCAATACTTTCCATCTCAGGAGTTCTAATCCCATGCTGACGTTCCAATATGTATGCTTGTTACTTTTCAATGATTCAGAAATATTGAAGCCAAAGACATCCAGACAGCTGCATTCTAAAGAGCAGGTCAAGAATGGCAGCCCCCATATTCTTTTTTATTTTTAAAAGGCATAGACACTCTGTCCATTCCCCAGCAGGGTACACTCACCCTCTGCTTTTGGCCTCCCTGTTGCAGGAGTCCTCTGGAGTTTACATGAGCCAATGACATCACTGCCCCTCATGTGGCACTTCTTGGGTCTAGCGATTGGACCTTTAGGGCCAATCACTGTCATGTGGAGAAGGTCACATGCTCCCTCATACCTGGATCTGATCATTGGCCAGCTGTGTTGCCACTCTTGCAAGTCACCTTGCTACTCCACCAAGCCAGTGGAGGTGTATGACCACCCCCAAAAGGATCAGGAGCACCAATTTCTGCAGTTATGTTTTTTCCCCTTTAAAGAAAAATGTATATTGATTTTGTATAAATTTTCAATCTCTGTTTATTATGGACAGGAAAAAAAGTACATTCCTATACAAAAAAGTTCTTGTGAATTGTAAAAAACTATTTTGAAGACAGCTGCGGTGGTATTTTGCAATAACTCCGCTTTGAAGTTGAATCGCAAAGAAAACAGTGTGACACATGTTTTGTTAATTACTTATTTCATGTTTGATGTATAATATTTTATTTGGTTGGTTTGTGACACTGGACTTCACTGTACATTATGGCTGCTTGTATTCGGGCTGTAAGTCTGATATCAGGATGACAGTGGACACTACTGGAAGGACTACATATACTTTACTGTGTCCTTACTGTATTATTATTCTGAATGAATTGCTGCACTAGAGGTCACAGGAATAAAGCTACCAAAGGCAGTCTGTGGCTAGATGACTGTATTATTTTTCACAATGATAATTTCAGCATACAATACATATCACTGGATAACAATTTTTTTTCACAGGTTTTGCTTCCTGAAAAACTTTTTGGAATTATGGTAGACCTCCTCAAACTGAACTCAAATATCATTTCAGAATTCCACCAGAGGTTTCCTGACAGACCCAGCCCTAAGACATCCTTGGAGGAGGGGAGTACTGTCAGGGTCTGGATCTGAACCCAGGACCTCTGCTGTGTCTGGTAGCAATTCTTCTTGCAAAGCCACCTGAGATGTTGATTTCAGAATGTCTGTATCACATAGGAATCCTGATAAATATTATTATTATTATACAGTATTTATAAAGCGCCGATAGTTCGCTCAGCGCTGTACATTACAAAGGGGGACAGAACATGTGACAGAACAATACCAATACAATGCAAAACATGAGGGGATCGAGGGCCCTGCTCTTTCGAGCTTACAATCTAGGAGGGAGGGGATGGTGGCACAGGAGGAGATAGCTGTGGGGGATGGAGTGGTAGGAAGAGTGGAGGAGGTCGGCAAAATAGCAGGGGGTGGGGTAGGCTTCCCTGAAGAGATGGGTTTTCAGGGTGCGCCTAAAGGAGAGGAGAGTAGGTGATAATCTGATGGGTTGGGGGGCGGAGTTCCAGAGGATGGGTGACACCCTGGAGAAGTCCTGGAGGTGGGCATGGGAGGAGGAGACCAGGGAACTAGAGAGAAGGAGGTCTTGTGAGGAGCGGAGTGTGCGTGTTGGGCGGTACTTGGATATTAGGTCGGTGATGTAGTTCGGGGCAGTATGGTGGACGGCTTTGTAGGATTTTGAATTTGATCCGTTGCGCAATCGGAAGCCAGTGGAGGGATTGGCAGAGGGGGGTGGCGGAGATGGAGCGGTTGGAAAGGTGAATGAGTCTGGCAGCCGTATTCAGGATCGACTGAAGCGGGGATAGCCAGCGGTGAGGCAGGCCAGTGAGGAGGGAGTTGCAGTAGTCGAGTCGTGATATGATGAGGGAGTGGATGAGCTGTTTAGTGGTTTCTGGGGTTAGGAACGTGCGGATTTTGGCGATGTTGCGGAGGTGGAGTCTGCACGAGTTTGTTAAAGATTGGACTTGGGGCTGGAAGGATAGGTTGGAGTCCAGAATGACACCAAGTACTCTGGCTTGCGGGGCGGGTTTGATGGTGGCGTTGTTTGATGTGATAGAGAAGTCAATGGGGGGTGGTGTCCGGGCTGGGGGGGAAGACCAGAAACTTGGTTTTGGAGAGGTTCCGTTTAAGGAAGTGGAGCGACATCCAGTCTGATATGTCGCTCAGTAGGTGTGTGATGCGGGCGGAGAGAGAGGGGGGGTGAGGTGGGGGGTTGAGAGATAGATTTGTGTGTCGTCGGCATAGAGGTGGTAGTTGAAGCCGTGAGAGTGTATGAGTTGGCCAAGGGAGGAGGTGTAGATGGAGAAGAGAAGGGACCCGAGGACAGAGCCTTGAGGGACCCCAACAGAAAGGGGGAGTGAGTGGGAGGTGGTAAATATGAAGTGAACTTTTAATGACTATAATGTATTTAATTATATAATGTTTCCAGCTAAAAGAGTTTTGCTGCTGATTTTCATTTGTACGGATTATCCAGTGCATGTCGTTGCAGTG